AAACAAGCCGAGGTCAAAGGAGTGGAGAAGACAGGATAATCGGAATAACGAGCCAAATAATCGGTAACCAGAGAGCAAGACGAGAACACTACACTACAGGTATCACAAGACCACAACAGGGCACTGAGAGGACAGGAAAGGTAAGTATAAATACCCTTGGTTTAATTCTGATTGGATAACTTCCAATCAGAATTAACAATCACACGTGGGGGATATCTATACCCCCACTGTGATTGTGGTACTGTTTCTTTAACGCCGGGTCACTCACGTGACCCCGGCGTTTACTTAACTCCTGGACCTCCCAGCGTGCAGCGTTATACATGCTGCCGCTGGGGGGCGTGGAGGACGCTGGCGGCGAGCGGCACAGAGGAGACGCCGCTCGCCGACAGGTAAGCAGAGAGGAGACCGCGGGCGGCGATGGACTGAGGGTGAGTGCTGCAAGTGGCGTGCAGCCTCCCCTCCTCGCCGCCCGCGGCTCCCTGACAGGTACGAGGCCTACCTGAGGCTAGATAAGCCTCGGAGGATCTTTCAACTACACTGCAAACACTCTTTAATAATGTGCTCCAGAGGCTTGTGGACACTTCAATTTTACTGGAGATGGCTCACAGGGCTGTAAGACCCAAGGGCCTATCACAGGACGCCCCACGGAATATAATATGTCGGGTCCATCATTACTCCGAAAAAGAAAATATCATGAGGCATGCGAGGGACTCTGCAGCACTTATGTATAACACCACCAAACTTCAACTGCTTCCCAACCTTCCCTGGATGACACTACGTGGCAGAAGGGCCTTGAGACCCCTAACCCAAGCATTGCAACAAGAAGGCATAAAATACCAATGGGGCTACCCGTTCTCCCTCATTGCCAGTCACCAAGGCACACAAGCTACAGTCACTACAATAGCCAACCTAAAAGGAATTTACCTCATACCTTACCAGACACCACCAAACTTGCAGATGAACACCAAGACACGAGGTGAGATCAACGCCCACAGGCCCGAGTATTCTCCGGTTCTGCAGCACCCATTCCAGCCCTGGCCACGACAACTCACCCACGACCAGGGGGAGCTAACAACCCATATCCATCAAGGTACCCGACCCGGGCACATATCCGATGTTACACCTGCAACCAGATGGGGCATATGCAGCGGGAGTGCCCCCAGAACAGACCTCAGCCAACCTGGCACAACCAAGGACAACCTCCTAGTGCTCGGGCCACTGTACATTGCTACCAGAGTGAGCAGCCCATCCAACCCACAACAGCCAACCACATAGAGGAACCACTGGGAACACTCCATGAGGTTAACCCCATCCAAGCAGCATCCGATAACCACCAGGGTCACAGACAGATCGTGCACATGGAAGGGAAATGTATACAGGGATAGCGTGATTCTGGGGCCACCCTGACTTTGGTCCGGAACCACCTTGTCCCAAAGAACCAACTCATGGGGGACTGTGTGGCAGTACGTGTAGCAGGGGGATCCATCTACAAAGTTCCCACTGCCAAGGTACATTTGGATTGGGGAGCAGGGTCAGGAGCCATGAAGGTGGGGATCATGCAGTGCTTGCCCGCAGATGCTATTTTGGGCAACGACCTGGGGGGTTCACCTTCGCTATTGTTCCCCAAACCACCGTTCAGGAAACCTATGCAGTCGACACCTGGCAGCAGGCTCGCTCCATGGCTCCATCCAATGCACCCTTAAAATTTGGCAGTGCGGTAGCCTTAGATCCCTCCCTACAAGTGTATAAGGATAGGATAGACCAGAACCAGGCTGGTTTAGAGGGAGAGAGATATGCCTGGGACAAAGGGTTATTATACCGTTATGCAGAGAAGGTAGTGGCCAGGATTATTCCTACGCCCAAACAATTAATTGTTCCCCGCAAATATAGACAGGAGTTACTGCGCATCGCGCACAATATACCGTTATCAGGGCATTTAGGAGTCAGCCGAACTAAACATCGGCTGACTCAGAACTTCTTCTGGCCAGGTATTTTAAAGGATATTCAACAATATTGTCAAACCTGCGATACCTGCCAGAGGGTAGGGAAGCGAGTGGACCGCTATAAAGCAAAACTTCATCCCCTGCCTATAATTGAGGAACCCTTTAGTAGAGTGGCCGTTGATATAATAGGATCCTTAGCTAAACCCAGTCCCTCCAGCAAGAAGTACATCTTGACCGTAGTGGATTATGCCACTAGATACCCAGAGGCGGTGACACTGATCAATGTGCATGCAGAGACCATAGCGGATGCCCTAATGCAATTCTTCTCCCGCATGGGATTTCCCCAGGAGATTACTGCGGAGGTCACCCACGAACTCTGGAAGGTATGTGGGGTAAGGCCTATTCTAAACTCAGCTTACCACCCCCAGTCCAACGGTCTCTGTGAATGGTTTAATGGAACACTTAAACAAATGATCCGTACATTCATAGACACCCAAAAGGACTGGGAATGGTTTTTACCCCACTTACTTTTTGCCAAGAGTCCACCGGGTTCTCCACTTTCGAATTATTGTTCGGAAGGAGAGTGAGGGGTCCCCTGGATCTCATTAGGGAACACTGGGAGGGAGAAGTAACCTCTAATGGTACCCCTATGACAAGCTGCAGGCCTCCTGGAAGAGCCCATACAAGGTGGTAGAAAAAATTTGTGACACCACCTATATAATTGGTCCATGTGAATATGCTGAAGCTGTACTACGAGCGCACAGAAGAGGTAACCACTATTTGCGCCTCTGCTGCAGAGGACTTCGATAACTTACCTCTCCCAGACCTCATAGAGGAATGGGGCCAGAACGAGAGCCTAGAAGAGGTACAGTTAGGTGTGCGCCTGAACCCTCAGGAATGAGCACAGGCTCAAAGTTTAATTAGGGGAAAGGGGGCCACCTTCTCTAACCTCCCCTTAGCAACCCATAGAGTAGAGAGCCCCTTCACCAACCTCCTTACCGCATACCAGAATCATTAAAGAACATGCATAAGGAGATTGAAACAATAAAGCTACAGTTAGAGGTTATAGAGCACTCAGATAGCCCCTGGGCCTCCCTAGTAGTCCTGGTGCCAAAGCGGGATGGGACTACCCATCCGTAGACTACCGGAGGCTCAATGATAAAACCATATCAGACACCTACCCTATGCCCAGGATAGACGAGCTCCTAGACAAAATGGCCAGGGGTCAGTACCTCACTACAATAGATCTTTGTAAGGGGTACTGGCAAATTCCCCTAGCCGAGGACGCCATTCCTAATTTGTCGTTTGTCACCCCATTTGGCCTGTACCAGTTTAAGGTCATGCCATTCGGGATGAAAAAAGCTCTGGCTACCTTTCAGAGGTTGGTGGATCGGCTACTGAACGGGTTCCAGGAGTACACTTGCGCCTACCTAGACAATAAAGCAATTTTTAGCCACTCCTGGACCGATCATTTGACCCTCATAGGAGCCGTACTAGACCGCATTAGGGAGGAAGGGTTAACCCTTAAACCCAGCAAGAGCCACATAGGAATGGCGGAGGTCCAATACCTGCGACACTGAGTAGGAAGCGGTCACCAAAAACCAGAACCAGCTAAGATAGAGGCCATAGCCAAATGGCCAACCCCCCCCCGTACTAAAACCCAAGTCCTAGCCTTAGCCAAACCGCAAATTTGTACCCGATTACAGCACCCTGGCCAAACCCCTCACTGACCTAACCTGCAAGAATCTCCCTAAGATAGTAGTATAGGCCACAGAGTGTGAGCAGGCATTCCAACAACTGAAAACTGCTATAGTTAATGCACCTGTACATGCATCTACTGATCCAACTGAATAATTTCTCATCCATACAGATGCTTCTATGTTTGGATTTGGAGCAGTGCTGAACAACGTCAGAGCAGATGGCGGCAAGCATCCAGTGTGTCATCTAATTCTTGGGGTACCTGTATTTTGCATGCTATATCCTGACTACCAGCGGAGATATTGTGATTTAACATACTACTCCGCTACATAGCCCTTCTCTGAAATCTCTCTAAAGTATCAACATCCTTCTGGAGATACTTGGAGTACTGTACGCAGTACTGGAGGCAGTGAGGTCTCACCAGTGCTCTGTACAATAGCATGAGCACTTCTCTCTTTCTATTGCTAATACCTCTCCCTATACAACCAAGCATTCTGCTAGCATTTCCAGCTGCACTATTACATTGTTTTCCTACCTTTAAGTCATCTGAAATAATTACCCCTAAATCCCTTTCCTCAGATGTTAAAAGGACCACTATAGTGCCAGGAAAACATACTCATTTTCCTGGCACTATAGTGCCCTGAGGGTGCCCCCACCCAAGGGACCCCTCTCCTCCTCCTCTCCGCCTCCGATCCTCCTCTTTCTCTGAAACTGCTATGTTTATAAAAAAAGGGTTAATCCTAGAGGGACCTGGCACCCAGACCACTTCATTAAGCTAAAGTGGTCTGGGTGCCTATAGTGGTCCTTTAAGGTTAGGACTCTATTAAATATTCGGTACTCTGCCCTTGGGTTTTTAAGTCCAAGGTGCACTTATCCACATTAAATGTCAGCTGCCACAGCTCTGACCATTTTTCTCAATCATTTACCATTTGGCTTATCCCTCCTGAAACATCAACCCTGTTGCAAATTTTAGTATCATTAGCAAAAAGGCATACCTTACCATTAAGACCTTCTGCAATATCACTAATAAAAATATTAAAGAGAATGGGTCCAAGTACAGATCCCTGAGGTACCCCACTGGTAACTAGACCTTGCTTCAAATATATTCCGTTGACTACAACCCTCTGTTGCCTGTCATTTAGCCACTGCCTAACCCATTCAACAATATAGGAATCCAAACTTAAAGATTACAGTTTATTGATGAGCCTTCTATATGGAACAGTTTCAAAAGCCTTACTGAAATCTAGGTAAGCAATGTCTACTGCAACTCCCTGATCTATTATTTTTATTTGTTTTTATTTGACCGTTTTGCACAAAAGGGGAAAAAAACGCTTAGACGATAATCCCCTTTCAGAGACAGGCACAGCTACTGTAGAATCACCAAAACTCATGAACTGAATACAAGTGAATGCTCCAAACTCCCGAACGGCATACAAGGGAATGCTCCAAACACTCGAACTGCATACAAGGGAATGGTCCAAACACTCAAACTGCATACAAGTGAATGCTCCAAACTCCCGAACGGCAAGGGAATAAGGTAGCACTCCAAATACACGAACAGGAACCATACGAATTGCTGCTACCAGACGAACAGGAAAAGCTCCCAAGCGGCTTACACTCCTGGCAATCAGTCCTTAGCAGCATACAGTAAATCCCCCCAAAGACGAGACAGAGCTCCGTGTTGAGGGTCAAGCAGTGGTCTGTTTAATGAGGGCTACCTGCCCAGTATTTATGCAGGTCTCCCACCTGGTGGACACTCCCCTAGGGGACCAAATGGGAGACTGTGACAAGGGACAGACAATTAGACAAATAGGACACACAGTCACAGTATCTCCCACAATGCATCCTGGCTTCCTCCCCTCTGCCCTCTGAGATAATTGGGAAGTAACTCAATTATCTCCCAAGACAAAGGCAAAACTCCATTACACATGTGGGGACACAAAACCAGCATTATACTTTAAAATACACAAAGTAACATTTATTCCACAAAACACAGACATGTAACATATCCCCAGATAGCTCAGGTCTGAGTGCACATTATTAAATGAATGGCACTCAGACCACACGAATACAGTTTAATCGCCATGGAGCCAAAGTCTTTACACAGTCAGTTTCATACGAATGGGCTCCATGGGATTCCTATCTGGGGTATAACATATTTGAACAAAAATACCGAACACCGGGCCGTTCGTGCACTACCGAACAAGAAGGGAGGTCGGCGGTTTCAGCGGTGTTCGCGCAAAACTGTGTCCGATTTTAGTTCCGTGAAAATAGAGGCGAACACCGCTGTTCATTCGTATGGTTTAAAATGGCCGCGACCTCGTGTTCGGGATATGAATGGCGGCCACCCAGCATTCATCAATTAAGCTGCGGTTAACCGCAGCTTCAGGGAGGTTAATTTGCCGGCACACTCCAGCTCCCAGGTGGTCCAGTCATTCGTACGGTTGTTCGGTAGATTGAAACTACCGAACAACCGGCAGAAAAGCACGAATACAGCTTTTCTGCAGGCAAAAATAAAGTCTTTTAAAAGGGGGCCATAGTCCAAAGGCAGCAGGCGAGCAACCAGGCTTCTCCAATGCAATGTGGCGAGATTGGTCTCGTCACAATGTTTTATTGAAGGTTTTACATTCATATCCATTGCAGAGTCATGGTTTGGTTACATATACATTGTGGTTCATGGTTATACATGAAAAAAGGAACACGATAGTAATCAGCATGGTTACAGATACATCCGAGATTGCTATCTTGAAATCATACAATTAGATACTTTGATAAGTGAGCAATACAGTAGGGTTGAAACAAGTAACAAGGTCGACACAATTAACATTTAACCATTCTATCATTTGGTCATACAGTTCCGGGATAGGGCCATCCAGGGAGAGTTCCACTCGGCAATAATCAATAGTGGTCCGATAGTGATTTGCGGGGGTCTAAGGGAACTGGCACACCAGGTGCAACTGTCAACTATGGGTAATATTTCCGTTGTCTTTAGAACTCAGGAAGGACCGCCATGGAGCCCATGTTATCTAGAATTTCTTAGTCTTAGTTGGGGAATCTAATGACATGCGTTCGTACACATAAAATTGTTGGAGCTTGTCTGTAAATTGGGTAAGAGATGGGCACACCGAGGATAGAGACAGTCATTGGGAACCCCTGTATTCCTAGTAGCTCCAGTAGCAATGGGATTTCCGTCCATAGTGGACGTATCCCAGTGCAGGTCCACCACACGTGGAGCATAGTCCCGTCTTCTTTCATGCATCTACAGCATGTCAAGGGTGACATTGGGTATATTTCGCTCAGTTTGTGGGGTGTCAAATACCAACGATAAAGAAGGTTTCTGTGTGCCTCTATGTGCATATAGCACCTAGTCCATTTTGACAGATGGTTAAGTGCTCGATAACATTTAGTCTCTGTTAGTATAACTCCACTGTCCCTCTCCCAATGGGATCTACAGGGTTCTGGTCTTACGGCTTGCAATTCTAGTCCCGCTTTGTAGCACAGGGACAAGGCCTTTGGCTTGGTTGGGGCATTTATGCACCTCTGTAACACTAATTGCGGATTAAGGGGCAGAGGGTTTGCTGTATTGGTGGCATCAGTGTGGATATGTGATAATAAGATGCTTTGTACCTGTAGGTACAGAAAAGTATCTTGGTCAGTGAGGCCCCAGACCTTCTGAAGGTCCTGGAAAGTTTTCACTGTACGTCCCTCTAATAAGTGGTATATTTGTGTAATGCCCAACGTTTTCCATTTGTCTAATGAGCCTATTGGGGAAATGTTTTTGATCACCGTTATTGGCGCCTTAGGGTGGATCTTATCTCTATAACCAAGCTTGTGTAGGAAGTCATCCCATAAACGCAAAGTTAGTTGTGTAGTGGGGAGTAGATCTCGTTCTGGAGTACGAAGGGACTTAGGTGTCCACATATATTCAGTCACCGAGTAGTTCGTAAAATTGGCCCCTTCTAGATCTACCCACTGTGTCTGCCCTTTTGGCGTGTTTAGGGTTACGCTTGCGGCTAGTAGTGAAGCTTGAAGGTATAGTCGAATGTTTGGTAAGCACACGCCACCCATAGCTGGAGATTTCTGTAGTAGGGCAAGCGGTAGTCTCGGCCTCTTACCTCCCCCATATGAAGGAGCTACAGACTGTAAGAATATTAAATAGTTAACTTGTTTATATGTATTTTATGCTTTTATAAGGTTTATAACATGATTATTGCTGACTGAAGGGATATTGAATACTTAAAGTCAATATGCTGACTGTGACAGACTAAGGTATTTCTTCTATAGGATGTAAGACAATGCTAAATTTCAGGATGTCTTGCCCATTCCGATTTTAAGGATATTCTTTTCCAGACGTATGCAAAAGCTTATCTTTCCATTGTCAGAATAACGTAATATAAGGAACTAATAAATCTTATAGTCTGTACTGTAATGAATGGCATATACCATGGCTAATGTAAGCAAACTATGTATAAAAGCCAGCTCTGGAATACACTCATTTGAGAGTCTTGTAAAGCTGTTGTCCGTGTGTTATTGCTTACAATGATCCTCCATCAACATTGATTATGGTGACCGAGGGATCGAGAACCGAGGGGATTAGAGTCCATTACAACATTAACCCTTTCAGCTTGGTGTCAGAAGTGGGATAGATAGAAGTTGGATCAGCAAAACCATTTGCGGTGAGTAGCCTTTTTGTGTCTTATTGACGCTGATTGTCTATGACCCCCGTTTGGTTCAGTAAGACTGTATCCAGTAGATAGGAAAGGTGTAAGGACTCTAGTTATATTGAGACTATAAGAGGTCTCCGGTTTATTAGACATTTGGTCTAAATATATACAGGGGTTCTTGGTAACCCAGGTTAGTATCTAAGATAGATACAGGTTTTTGAGACCATAAGAGGTCTCCGGTTTATTATAGGGTTTTGGTAACCCAGGTTAGTATCTAAGATAGATACAGGGTATCTCAGGTAGATACAGGTTTTTTTTTTGTGTAATATTTTTTATTGAGTTTCAATTTTATAGTCAAGTTATACAGATGTACAGAAAAATAACGGTGGTCACAGTACAGAAGTCAATCACATTTCAAAGAGAGCTGACGTCTCCGAATTTATAAACCGAACAAAGAGATAACTCAATGCAATGAACAGAGCAATAATTCGTATGTCAGTGGACTTTAACCTACATCAATGTCTGTATCTCATTTATTCAGTTAATTTCAGTATCTGTGTGTAACCCTCGTTGTGAACCCTAAACTGGGGGGGGAGGTAGGGGGGAGAAGAAAAGGGGGGGGAAGGTTGGGGGGGGGGAGAAAGAAGGGTCGGCTAACATTCTGAGGACCTGTGTCCGTTCAAGGTCTATAACTGTTGTGTGCTCTTTTGGACTGACAGTCGCCAGTCGTCCCATCGGTTCCATGCTGTCGGCCAAACCTTGCTAGCCGCCCTCATCCGCCTTGCCGCTATTTCGTATGACTTGGTGGTATCCACCATGTTTAAGCATTGGTCAATACTTGGTGGGTTCTCGTTAAGCCACCCTTTACTTATAGACATTTGAGCTGTGATGATAATGTGATATATGAGATATAGGTCCACCTTTTGCAATGTGTGGGGTAATGCTAGCAAGAGATAGGTTTCTGGAGTGAACGGTAGAGTGACCTTTGTGGACTCCTTTATCGTAATTGAAATGTGTCCCCAGAAGGACTTGATCTTCGGACAGGTCCACCAGATGTGGAGCATTGTACCGGGCTCTTTCAAGCATCTCCAGCAGGAGTTTGATTTCCGTCCGTCAAATTTGTGTAGCCTAGTGGGCACCATATACCAACGGTATAACACCTTTCTGCTAGTCTCAATGTGTGTCGTGTTCAGTGTTAGGTGTTTATGGGCAGCCAATACTTTGGACCAAATTTCATTGGGTATGTCTAGGTCTAGCTCTTTCTCCCAGGCTTTTATGAATTTTAAAGCCTTTGGAGGGACTTGAGTTCCCGATAATTTATATAGCAGAGACAGTAGTTTTTGTGGTGGTTTTTTGGCCATGCAGAGTTTTTCTATCTCGGTCAGGTTGTCATCCTGTAGGTGTGTGCCATCCCCACCTATGTGTTTTTTCACCCAGGAGCGTAATTGTAGGTAAGTAAAATATGCTTTGGAAGGTAAATTAAACGTTTTGGATATCGAGTCATAGTCCATTAAGCGGCCTTTTGACATTATCTGGGATAGACAGGTAATTCCGCTATTGTACCATATGTTATAGTCAAATCCAGGAATGAGGACATGAAACGCTTGGATTTGTAGTGCCGGGGAAATATAGGTGGTATGGTAGTGTTCTTTAACGTATCTATCCCATATTAGGAGTGTTGCTGCGGTGGTGGGGCATATGTTCTGGTATTTTGGTCGGCTATGCTTGGGGATCCAAGCTAGGGTTGATGCCGCTATCCCGTCGGTGTGTGCTGTTTCTATTTGGTGCCATGGAGGTGGTGTAGTATGATGGAAGGTCATTAGAAGAGTGCCCATTAGGGCCGCTATGTAGTATCTGGTTATATCTGGGGCCCCCATCCCACCCTCTTTAAAGGGCTTATACATGGTGGCCGCTGCAATCCTGGGTCGTTTACCTCCCCAGATGAACCCGTTTAGCATGCTTTGGGCCTCTGTAAAGAATGTCTTTGGCAGGCCTATCTGTAGTGTTCTGAATAAATACTGGAGTTTGGGCAGTACCATCATTTTTGCTGCCGCTATCCTACCAGTCCACGAGATGTATTTCCCTTTCCAGCTGTGCAGCTGTTGTTTGATGTTACTTAGTAATTTTAAGTAATTTGTTTTATATAGTTTCCTTATTGTAGGTGTGAGGTGAATCCCTAAGAATGTCAGGTGATCCTTTCTCCAGTCATATGTGTGTTTACCTTGTAGTGTAGTCAGTTGTTCTGTGGTGAGATTTAGGCCCATGGCTTGTGTCTTGCTGATATTGAGTTTATAGTAGGAGCAAGCACTAAATCGTGTTAGTAGCATTTGGAGTTGCTCTAATGAGGTGTCCGGGTTAGACAGTGTGAGCATAACATCGTCAGCGAACAAGGTGATTTTCTGTGTATTCCCTCCCACTTTAATGCCTTTAATGTCTTGAGAATCCCTTATGTGTTGTGCTAAGGGTTCCAATGCTAGTATGTAGAGCAACGGGGAGAGCGGACAGCCCTGCCTGGACCCATTAGTAACCTGAAATTGTTTGGAAGTAAAGCCTCCGTTCGCTATCCTCGCTGTGGGGTTGTCATAAAGCGCGGATACCAAGGTGATGAAGCGGTCTGGGAAGGCAAACTTCTTTAGTACTGCTAATAGGTATCCCCAGTGCAGCCTGTCAAACGCTTTTTCAGCATCTAATGACAGTGCTACGCTGGGCACCCCGCTTGTGTGAATACTGTGGATGATATTTACTAGTTTCCTCGTCCCATCTGAGCCCTGCCTTCCGCGAACGAAGCCCACCTGGTCATCCCGAATTAGTTTGGGGAGCATAGTTCCCAATCTATTTGCATAGATTTTTGCCAGTATTTTTAAGTCTGTGTTTAGGAGGGATATGGGCCGCAAATTCTGGCATTTGTGTGGTGGTTTCCCAGGTTTTGGCAGTGTTGTTATGTGAGCCATTAGCATCTCCCTTGGTACTTTGCCTGTCTTGAGGATAGTATTGTATAATTTTTCTAGTGTGGGGGCTAAAATATGTGAGAAGGTTTTGTAATATAAATTTGTAAAGCCGTCTGGGCCGGGTGATTTCCCTTTGGGAAGGGTCTTAATTGTGTGTGTTATTTCAGTCTGAGTGACAGGGTCATTCAGAAAGGTGCGGTCCTCCTGTGTAAGTTGACGCGTGTTGGCTTCCGTTAAGAATGTATTAATGTCTGTGGCCAGTGGTTGGTGTGTGTGTTCATCTCTGTTTAGATTGTACAGTGATTCGTAATAATCGGCCAACATGTCGTGGATATCATGGGGATTATACACCTTATTTCCCAGTGAATTTAAAAGGAAAGGTATTTTCGCATTTTGCCTCTTTTGCCGTAGAAGCGCTGCCAGTGCTTTCCCGGCTCTGTTCCCCTGGGTATATGTTGCAAGTTTAAGCCTATGTGCCATGGCAACTGTAGTTTGTAGGTGGATATCATTTAACCGCCCTTTAATTTGGTCTATGCGTTGTTGCTTGGATGCTGTGGGGTTTAGGATTTGAGCAGATGTTTCCGCCGTAAGCGATCTCATTAAGGTTATATAGTCTGCCTTCGCTTGTTTATTTAGATGGGATGCTTGGCTGATCATGAGACCTCGAATGAATGCCTTATGCGCTAGCCATGTTGTAGCTAACTGGACATCGGGTGTATCGTTTATAGTAAGGAACGAAATGATTTCTTCAGTGAGTTTGGCGGTAAAGGTCGGGTTGCTCAAGAGAGCTTCATTCATGCGCCACGGTTTTGATCCGCGGGATTGGAACTTGTCATGTATGGTTACTATTACAGGGGCATGGTCAGACCAGACTATGTTTCCTATCTCACTGTGGGTAGCTTTCGACAGCATGTCGCCTGAGATAAATATAAAATCGATTCTGGAGTATGTTTCGTGAACCGACGAATAAAATGTAAATTCTCGGTCGTTCGGGTGTTGTGCTCTCCATACGTCGTATAGATTATATTCCAAAAGGAGTTTAACCAATGCAGTAGCCTGTTTTCCCAGTGATTTACATCGTTGGGATTCCGCTGACTGTGTAGTATCTAGTTTGGGTTGCATTACATGGTTCAGATCTCCACATAGGATTGTGGAGGAGGGGTAGGTGGTTGGGATTTTGTGTAATACTTTTTGCAAGAAATTTCTCTGATCAGTATTAGGACTATATACTCCCACTAACGTGTATAATGTATCATTAATTTTGCAGTGTATTATGAGATATCGACCCTGTGTGTCTTTTTTGAGGTTTAGTAGTTCAAATGTAACTGACACATGAATGAGAAAGGATACACCTCTTGATTTGGAGGAGTGAGTGGAGTGGTACTGTGTGGGGTAGTCCCTGCTCGCGAAGGTGGGTACCCTGTTATGTACAAAATGTGTCTCTTGTACGCATAATACGTCTATTTTTGTGCGTTTTGCGTCTTCAATGAGGAGTCGCCTTTTGTGCGGGGTATTCAATCCGCGGGTGTTAATAGTTTGTATTTTCATAAATTGTGTTTGAGTTTGTCACTGTGCTATAAATTAAGGTAGTATTTAATAAGCGTTTGTTTATATTAAATAGGAAGCTGTGTGTCTCCCTTAGTAATAAGCAAGGTATGCTTAACGCAGCAATTGTACTGTGTTTGATTATGTGGGTAGATGGGTGGTAATGTTGGCAAGTTTTTCTGTCAGCCTGTCTGGAGATTTGAAGCCGATCACGGGCTTCTTGGGGTGGGGAGAGGAAACTTGGGGAAAGAAATATAACTATATACAGAGTGTCTCTCTTGGAGACAGTGTGTGGTTGTACCACATCCAGGGGACAGAAGAGATGTCTCTCTTCCATTAGCGTGGCTATTGGACACCTATGTCCTCAATCGTAGGTTGCATCCACCTTGCCATAGGTATGTGTGCGCACGTGGTGTAAGTTCCAGCATTGATAATGTCTGCCTCGTCTCGGTAGTGCTAGGGTAGGCTCCTCCGGAGCCAAGCTGAGCTAAGCTCCGCCCAAGGATTTACAGTAAATTCTTATGGGTTATTGAATTGGTGGTATTTACCCGACTCCTGTTGGATGTGAGTCTGGTGTGCATGTGTGGCTTAACAATATACATATTTTAGTACAGATAAAGATTCATAATATTCCCAAGAGTTAAGCTACTTAAGGGAGAATAAACATTTCCCCAACTGCACTGTCAACCCCCCCCTTGCCGGTATCATCACCCGTTCCCCGACTTCTATCCCACGTTGTCCCCCCCCCCAAGTCCCTCAGTTCGTATATGGTGGGAGCCTGGTTCCCAGGCCCCCCAATACCTTGTTGGGTCGCTGGACGCCAGTCACGTAGCTCAGTTCCGATGGGTTGACCCATTTGTAGCTGTGCTCGGTTCTCGGTTGTGTGAATGGGTCTTTAAAGTGGTCCTTTGCTAAGGTATGGGGACCTGTAAATCAGAGTCTCAGGGTGGCCGGAGTGACTTCCGAGGGGTGAGGGAGGAAAGGGGGTATCTTCTGTTCGGGCTTAGATCCGGTCCAGGGTCCCCCGCACTCTTTCCGCTGCTCTGCTTGCGCCTCGTCACAGGGATGTCGGGAGACCCTGGCCCGGCACTCCACCTCCACCCCATTGGCCGGTGTCCGGCATCGCACATCAAAAAAGAGAAAAAAAGTCATTGTTGGTGGGCTAGTCGATTACATATCTGCCAAATGCCAATGTACAGTCTGTACTCATGTATGGGCCATCGCCCGCTGACCAGTGTTTCAACCGGTGTTAATGTTTTCCGTGGGTCTTCTTCCAGTCTTGTTTGAGTGTTGCTGCTTGGGTTGATGTCTGTGTGGGTGGTTCTACCTGTATATCCCATGCCTGCAGTTTCTTCACGCCATCTTCAGGGGTATTTATCACCGTCGTGCTGCCATCTTTCGTAATCACCAGTTTTGTGGGGAAGCCCCATCTATACCGGATACCATGCGATCTCAGTGCTGCGGTAACTTGGGCGAATTCTTTTCGTCTTTTTAGCGTAGCAGCTGACAAGTCTGCATATATCTTGACGGTGGGGTAGTCAGTTGGTGGTTTAGCCCTCATTCTGCTGCCCCGGAGGATATGTTCCTTTATATGGAAGTAATGGGCGCGAAGCAGTATGTCTCTGGGCACCGTCTGTGGAAGGTGTCGGGGTTTCGGGATGCGATGCACCCTGTCGACCAGCAACATATCTGTGGGTATCTCTGGTGCGTGTGCATGCAACAGGCTCCTCACATATGCCGGTAAGTCATCATTGGAAACGTCTTCTGGGACTCCCCTTAGGCGTAGATTGTTTCGGCGGGAGCGGTCCTCCAAGTCCGCCAGCTTGCCTTCCAGTTTGCTGATGTCTGCTGCCATGCGTTCTACAGTCGTTGCCAAATCATTGTGGGCTGTAGCGAATTCGTCACATTTGTCCTCCATATGTGTTGTCCGTTTTCCCAGCTCCTGTATGTCTTTACGCATGGAGTCTGCTGTGTGCTGCCATGTGGTGATGAGTTTGTTGGATAGAGTTTCCAGGGCTGCATTGAGATCAGCTTTCGTTATTTGTGATGTGTTAGGTTGGTTTTCCAGTTCACTGGTGTGCATGCCGTCGTCTGATTCTGGATCCGTAACCGATTTTGAGGCCTGCGCCGCCATAGTCGCAGCGGTTTGTTTTTGGCAAAAAAAATTGAGCTTTTCAGGTTTTGCTGAGCTCCGCTTGCTTTTGTGGTGGGACATTGTCGGGTTGCAAAGGTGGATGCCGCTGTAGGTGTTAGGATTGCATTAGATTGGGTGTCCTAGTGCCGGAGCAAGTTTTCATGCGGCCATCTTGCTCCGTGGTTAGCCACGCCCCCCTAGATACAGGTTTTTGAGACCAGAAGAGGTCTCCGGTTTATTAAGTCTATAGGTGTTCTGAGTAGCACGGTTTGTAGATTTATAAGTATAACCCAAACTTCTCTTTCTCCCGGTCACCTTTGTTTGTCTTAAGTGTTCTTTGTGGGTGATTGTTTGTCTATATTGGGGACACACTTTGGTAAGTTAGTAGTGTCCCCACTCTGAATCAGCAGTATGGGAAATGTGAGTTCATGTCCTGAGTGACCAATATATGTACATGTATATGTGTGTGTATGTATATATGTGTATATGTATGTATATATGTGTGTGTATATGTATATGTGTATATATAAGATAGCAGTACTTTTAAACAAATGGAGGTTTTAAAAATACATAGGGATTAAGGAGAGAACGCAGGTAACTTGTTTTTCTTTGGTTTTTACCATATATTGGGGCTGATGTGTACTGTAGTCCTTGCTGCTGCCCAGTAGTGATGGGAGTGAGCGCAGGACTTATCTTTCTGCAAGATAGCAGTACTGTATATTAGAAAAGAACTGACTCACAGGTTGTACCTGATAGACCTACTTAAATCTTTTTACTTTATTTTTTTCTGTCGCATAGAAGTATAAGTTTATTACTCTGTTTTATTGTAAGTTATTTCACATGGGAACTGTGTGCCTGGTATGATTGTTGCTTTAAAAATACTATAAGCCCACTACACTTATTATGAGAGTGGGATAGTGTAAATGTGTTGCATTGTTTGCATGATGAGCTCAGTATATTTTATAACTGAGACAAAAAGTCACTTCATTAGTATTTGGAAGTTAATTCCCCATATGGGATTAATTGTATAGAAACACCAATCAGCACATCTTCCCTGCCCTGTGTGTTTGTTGCAAAAGATCCATACTGTAAATATGATTTTTGTTTGAAAATAACAGAGCAACATTTACATTTTCAGCGGTCCAACACATGCTTTATTTTGCACTGTAAACTAACCTTTTTATTGCAACAGGTTCCTTTTAAATGATCCAGTGTAATAACTACTGCTTGTGTCTTCTATGTCTCACATTATGTGTTATTTTAAATTGTGGTATATAGCCTGAATCAGACATCATGGACAAAGGTTTTTACCTGTATTACAAAGGGCTCTTGGAGACTGACCGGTCTAAAGGTTTGCCATGCCTTTAAAACATGGTATAGTATAAATTTTTAAGTCTCTGAGAGTTCTGAAAGATTCAGGTGAAACCATGTCTGTTTAATCTGGTCCAGATGTTTGTTCAATTTCTATAGGATTTAAGTTGATGCAGCATCATCTCAGATTAGTTAATGGTAGTTTTATACAAATAGTTGAGTTATGAGCGCGCTATATAAATGGATCCTTTCTTTATATATAATACTATAGTAGATTAAAGTAATGAAGTTAATTAAGAAAATGTACACATAAGAATCCCTAAAATAAATCTAAACTAAAATTGGTATACTTTCCAATAATATGTTCTGAATACAGCTGTTAACTGTTTATTCTGTGTAAATGGTGACTGTGATAATGTGTGATAAGTGTGCAGTTTAACTTGAAAGTGGTTTAATTTATGTTGCTGTTTTGTTTTAAATTATATGTGAATCAGTTTGTCACAGTCTAGTGATACTGATAAGAATGACAGCCAAATAACCTAGCAAATAACTGTTTTATTAGTTGTTGAATACTAGCGTTTAGGCCAAGAGTAGTTGGAGATTTGGAGGTGTTAGTTTAAGATTGCTTTTATATTGTGTCTATCCGTGTTTCCTAGGAGGGAGACAGAGTGTGTAGTTGTGTGCCCATAAATGTGATTTCTGTATTGGCATATCTGCTGGGTACCCATTATGTGTTTCTACAAAGATATTGCTTTGTGAGATGACGTGTAATATTACATGGGATGCTGAGTATGAGTTATATGGTTTGAAATGAATTGGTGATTATGAGCTTAGTACTTCAGTAAGATGTGCTAAAATTTGGAACAAGGTGGAAGCTGAAATGTTGGGATTATGGAAGAATAGGTAGTCTATATTCACTGCTTTGGCATATAAGCAAGATGCAAAGGAAGAGATTGGTAATATGATTTTTGTAAAGAAATTTTACAAGTGTTGGAAGGATGAGGCAGGTTTGATGTCTGGAGATGATATAGATATCTTTAAAATACAGTCATGCCTTGGTAATATGTTGCCACAGTATTCTTTGCTTGTGAAACAATTGATTTCAGACTGGGCCAATTTGGATAGCTCAGAGTTTCTTACCAAGGTTATAGAAAAGGAAAATGCAGGATGTTTTGAATTAAGAAAAGATTTAGGAAAGTAAGGTTGCTTATTATGCTCAGGGATTGCAACATATTATGTCCAGCTACACAGGCTGAGAGCGAGGATGGGATGGAGCACATAAAGCCCGTGGAAGGGGTGGTCAAAGAGGGGCAAGGGGATGGAGACAGGGAAATCAGGGTTATAGGGGTAACCAAGGAGGAATAGACAGGAACACTTGTTTCAACTGTGGCCAATATGGCCACTGGAGGAATGAGTGTCCACATCCCAGGAAACCCCAGGAAACCCCACACACCCCACCAACCCCACAATTCTCAAAATATGCCTGGTAGGCAAGAACAACACCAGATCCACTCCCAACACCACTGGCCAGCATATCGCTTAGTTCAGGACTTTAGAGCCCTGAATAGTTTAATTGTGCCCATTTCACCCATTGTCCCTGATATGACATCCCTCATTACAGCCATTCCACATGATGCCACTTGCTTCACTGTCATTGATTTAAGTAATGCATTTTTTCTATACCTATTGATCAAGAGACACAGCTACTTATGGTTTTTACTTTTTGAAGGCTGTCAGTTTACCTGGACACGCTTACCCAAGGCTATGTGGATTCCCCAGCTGTTTATTCGTTGGTACTCCAACATACTCTAAAAAACATGGACCACCGGTCATGGTTCCGTCCTTTTTGCAAAATGTTGATGATTTGTTGTTATGTAGCCCTAGCTATGAGGCAAGCACTGTGGATACTGTCAGCAACTGTAGGTCACAAGGTTGTTAAACACAAAATGCACCAGACAATTGAGTCCAAAACGTATTGAGGTCATTCAGAGGATTCCTACACCCACTACTCGGAAGGAGTTGCTCACCTTCCTCGGCATGATTAATTACTGCCGCCAATGGATCCCTGAATGCTCCCATTATAACTCAATCCTAAGGGAGGCTGTACGTTCTGACAGCCCTGAAAATGTCTGCTGGTCACCAGACATGCTAGCTGCATATATTGCCCTTACAGTTGTTATTGTGCAAGCCCAGGCTTTAGGACTACCTGTGTATTGTAAACCATTTCATTTGTATGCTTGGGACAATTGTAAAACCATGGCCGCAGTCTGTGCACAAGAGCAAGGAGGCGGTATGCGTCCCATAGCATTCTTTTCCAAAGTAGTTCGAGCTCCGGTAAAGGGTATGCCGGCGTGTCTCAGAGCATTGATAGCATGTGCAATGGCTGTTGAAACTGCTACTACTATCACACTAGGGCATCCTACAATACTTCATGCCAGTCACCAGGTCACTCAGCTGATGACAAATATCACCGTACAACACATGACAGCCCAGCGCTTCAGTGGTTATGAGATTCTTTTTTTTAATACCCAGAATCTGTCTTTTGGATTAAACAAGGTTTAGAGAAAGATCAAAATGATCTGTTCTCTAAAGAGGGGAGAATAGGCATACTTGAAGAATAGGCATACTTGAAGCAAGCTGCTTTATTTTCATCAGTCAGGCACATAGCAAGCACCATTCAATTCCTCATGAATTCATTTTATATTAGGAATCTCAGGCAGCATGTACAGTCTTTTGTAAGATCGTGTGAACGCTGCTCTTTTTACACACTTACAGATTGATTTTATTCATGTATCCAAAATTGGTAAGAAACAGCAATACTTACTGGTCATAGTTAATCAGTTTAGTAGATGGCATGAGGCCTTTGTGACATCTAGGGAAGATGCTAGTGAAGTTTATTGTTACTGAAATTATTCCCAGGTATGGCTGCCCTCTGCAGATTGGCTCTGATAATGGCCCGGTTTTTGCAAGTGGGTTGCCCAGGAACTTGCTAAATTCTTGCAAGTTACCTGGCAGTTTCATATACCCTATCATCCACAGAATACAGGGGTAGTTGAAAGGATGAATAGGACTATTAAGGAAAAGCCCAGAATTTACCCAGGAACATGGGTAAATTGGACTAGATATCTACCAGCTATTTTAGCTGAGATAAGAATGAATCCCCACAAGGTGACTAAATTATCTCCATCTGAGATTTTTGATGGGATGACCTTTTCCCACACCCTGGGCCAGGGAACCGCTTGTTATAATGTCTGGGGATTTACAGCTATACAAGAACAATATGTACAGGAATTGTTGATAAAACCGAATGGTATGTATGACAATGTTTCTTCGCAGTTTTCCCTTACCTTCACAGGAACCTACTCATTCATACCAGCCCGGTGACAAGGTGTATATCCGTCAGCTGAACAGGACCAAGAAAGGAGGATACCCTTTTGGACCACCTGCTACTGTGATTGCTGTACCCATAACCGCTGTCCTCACAGATTCCCATGACATCTGGATTCACGCATCCCGAGTGAAGCTGTGTCCAAAGAGGGGAACCAAGGAAGACAACACCACTCCTCGCTCGGAAACAGAAGAATTTCTCCTCAGCGAAGCATCATGGCTTTTACACCATATCGTAGATTGAGAGGATCATACGTACCTGAGACCAAGATTATGTTGTGCGCTATGCTTTCTGGAGTTGTTATACTCCCTCTGATATTGTTCCTTGAATGCCATTATGAGTACAAGTCAATGGCAAGTTTGAAACCTGTTTGTTTCTGAAAAAAGACTCTGACATGATGAACAATTCTTCAATACCCCCAGCCCAATTAGGCCTTGGCCCCTCATCTAGCATTCGTCACACACGCCCCCTCAAGAACCTTTTTCCACCACCTTTCTATCAGCATGCAATATGCAATCATTCATTCACTGAACGCATCTGGATGAATTGGACAAATAGTAACCCTTATAAGTACCAGTTACCCATATGAAATGTGTCTACAGCTAATGAAACCGATGCATTATGTTTGTTTAAAGGTTCACAGAAAATTGTTAGATCTTATAACGCAGAAATGTGCACAGTTAAGGTTGCATATCAATGTAAATAGACAGGCCTTATTACTTTTAATAATGATTATATAACTGGTATCATTAATTGGAAAAGGGGACAAATGTTAGTCATTATGAACGACACTACAATTGAGAACTATACACTACCTTATATTTTTACACCTTATTACTGTCCTTTATCCTCTACCATAGAACCAAAAGTCAACAACGACACACACACACACACCTATTCCGTCCACATTTATTAATACAACTGCCTTCTTACAAGCTGTACATGTGTCATTAAAAATCACTACTTCTGTTGTAACATTATGTAATACAACAAACAAAAGGCAGAAAAGGGAATGGTATGACACACTGTTAGATGGTGCTGGAACCACTATGGGTATACTAAATAGTTATAGATATGGAGACCCTCAAGAATAAGTTAAACACAGCCAGCATGCATATAGGGACTGGTTTTCATGCTACTGCAAATTGGGCTCCAATTGTTGTTAAATCACAGGTTACAGGATTGGATTTAGATAAATCAATGTATAATTATTTAGATAATTTAACTGTTGCAACTATGAAATTCACTACAGGTCTAAGTAACTGGAGTACTTGTGCCATCAGGTATTTATGGATACAACAACAAGGATTGGCATTAGAAAACACACTAATGATTCCCAAACTAGAGAAGATTAGAGGGATGTGTAACCTCACAGATAATGAATGGTTACTTCTAAAACCCCAATCCAGTAAATGCAATGGATGGTTAACTGGTAATGTTTCACATATTTCATGCTCATGCTATTTTACATTATATCATACATCATCAAAGGATGTTAAATTAGCTTGTCAATTTAACACATTGCCAGTACCAGTTTATGATCTTTTTGCCAAGAATTTAACCTGGTGGGCACCCACATACACAGGGGACTATATTTTCCCCAAAGATAACATACACAGGTAGCCACACATATCCTAAAAGGAGAACTCCTTAAGGTGAGTTCACAAATTCAGAATGATTTAGCCCATCATTGGTACGATGCTTCACTGGTTGGTCCCCTACTGGATCCCAGATAATGAAATCATTCTTCTATCATTTTGTTATTATAGTCCTGATTTTATTGTGTATGGTTTTATATAACTGTCACCTTACTTGTACATTGAGGAAGAGAGTACAGAAATGAATCCATAATGCAGAACAGAAACAATTAGAAATTCTCCTCTCTGCCACTGGAGGGTATCAACCCATCTTTAAACTGGGCCTTAGGAATTACCACATGGGAATCGAGGTGAAGAAATTAATGAAAGTCCCGCAGGGAGTGACTAGCACCCCTGAAAATACCATGTGGAAGTTTCTCTGTCCTGGTAAGATTTTATCGATAAGATGAGCAATTGTTTTATTGCTCAAAGAGGGGAATGTAAGAATATTAAATAGTTAACTTGTTTATATGTATTTTATGCTTTTATAAGGTTTATAACATGATTATTGCTGACTGAAGGGATATTGAATACTTAATAATATGCTGACTGTGACAGACTAAGGTATTTCTTCTATAGGATGTAAGACAATGCTAAATTTCAGGATGTCTTGCCCATTCCGATTTTAAGGATATTCTTTTCCAGACGTATGCAAAAGCTTATCTTTCCATTGTCAGAATAACGTAATATAAGGAAGTAATAAATCTTATAGTCTGTACTGTAATGAATGGCATATACCATGGCTAATGTAAGCAAACTATGTATAAAAGCCAGCTCTGGAATACACTCATTTGAGAGTCTTGTAAAGCTGTTGTCCGTGTGTTATTGCTTACAATGATCCTCCATCAACGTTGATTATGGTGACCGAGGGATCGAGAACCGAGGGGATTAGAGTCCATTACAACATTAACCCTTTCACAGACCGATTGTAGGGTTTTACACCATGAGTGTGGGATTATAACTGGTAGCATGCAAAATATATATAATTTGTGTTAGGTGCTCATGATAGTACAGAGTGAAATACCATAATTAAATGTAGGATAGTAAAAAGGGCAAGTCGGTTGTGGAACCGACGATGAGGTAGGCCTGAGAAAGAAGAGGGCAAAAATTAAGTAATCAAATTTATTACAGACAACCAATACAGATACATATATCAACCAGACAAGATTTTGAAAGCATCCCTTAATTCTTGTACTGGGTTTGGTAAGTACCGTGAGTAAGCGGATGACTTCCAGCGCCCCAGTGTTTTTATAACGTGAACTGGAATGTTGACACTGGAGGCTGCGGACGCTGCTCCTATGCGGAAGGAGTGCCCTGAGTAGTTAGCTGCTTTGAGGCCCAGTTGAGTGAGCAAAGACCTGATGTATGTCATGAAGGTTGTAGTGGTGAGTACCGAACTTTGTAATAGTTGTAATGGTTGTGATGGTATTGAATTATGATGCTGTAGGTATGCATCCAGAACCTTGACGGGGCACCACTTGTTGTGTGTGGGATAGTATGGAATGTTTACTGGTATGTGCTGGCTGGTTTTGGTGTGAGGTAGCGTCAGGATGTAATGATCCATGTGTTTTTATAAGTGGGAGTAGAGGAGAATAGGAGCAGATTGTATTATGTTGGTTGTAGTAAACTCTCTAGGTCTTAGGAATCCATAGAAAGCTATGTATATTGCTGTTTTTATGACAGAATTTGTATTGGTGTCAAAAGGTTTTAAATCAAGCAGGTTAGATAATGCCTTGAAGATATGGTTATCTATGGGTAGCCTCTGTGATGTACGTGTGGGTTCAGATTTCTGAATGCCTCTGAGTATGGTCTTGATCTGGTGGGAGGCCATGAAACTAGTGTTGTTAGGCTGTAAGATTAGCATATGGTGTTGAATGCCTGTGAGATACAGTTTGATGGTGTTATATGACATTTTAAGTTTAAGGTGGAAAAAAGAAGCAAAACCCAAAAAAGATGTCATAACAAATGGTTGCCTGATGTTATGTTCCAAAAGGAATCTTTTGAATAGTGTAAAAGCCCTGTCGTATGTCTTGTGTGTATTTTTTGACAGTGCCAATTGGGACAGTGTCCTGCTATGATGCATGATGATGTCTAGTCCAATATTAGTTGTTGAAATGTTGGAGTGGTAGTGGCTGTGAGCGCCGTTGACGGGAGTGCTTGATGAAATGCCTGAAATGTAAAAAGAGACAAACTGTCAGCAGCTGTGTTACATAATCCTGGAACATGAAAACAATATAGAAAGAAATTACGACAAGCTGCCAACCACGTGAGTTTCCTCAGAAATCTCATGATCGTAAGGGATTTGGAGCGACCTTTGTTGATGATGTGACAGGTTGCCTGGTTGTCTGAGTAACAACGAACTGGCATATTTGCCCATAATTGACCTCATGCTACGGCAGCCGCCACGATGGGATAGATCTCAAAAAGAGCTGTGGTAGTGGAAAAACCTTCCAAATCCTGAACTGCTGAAGGCCAGCTGCCCCAAAGCCATTCGTTCCCAAAAATTGCTGCAAAACCTGTGGTAGATGCCGCATCTGACCAAATGGTAAGTGATGAGTCAGTCAATTGAGGGAGGAACATACTTTTACCATTCCAAGTGGTTAAAAATTCCTTCCACATGCGTAGGTCTGCCGTAGCTTGGTTATCTAAGGACAACCTGTGTGTGTCGTGTAGGAAGCGTGGAAAAAGATACAAGAGTCGTGATATGAAGGAGCGGCCTTGAGGTATGATACGCATCGCAAAATTTAGTGACCCCAGTAGAGACTGTAGCTCTTTGCGGTTGCAAGTACAGAGCTGAAGGTAGTGGTTGATGTAGGTAAGAATGTTCTCTATCTTGTTGTGGGGTAGGCTTGCTTGCATTGTGGTTGAGTCTAATTGAATACCCAGGTGTCACGTATTCATCCACTTATAGAAATGTGGTTAATGACATTTACTGTCCACACAGGAAAAGTTGTGCCGAGCAGCAACCTAATCCACAGAAGGGTTAATGCTGAGCAGCAATTATGCAAATGAAACCTGGTAACTGACTTTGGGGTCAAAGGCCGGTTACAGCCTATCAGAACTAAAGGAGGGGTATTTAGGCCCAGTTCTCAGCCTGCTCAGTGCCCTGTCGTGGTTTCCCTTGTGGTTGTCTGAGAGCGCGTTCCTGTTTATAGTTTTCTACCTGGTTTTGACTTTGGCTTTGTTTATTGACTTCTCTATATTCTGGTATCCTGACTCCTGGCTTTCCTCATCGCTGTGTCCCTTTCTGTGTTCCCTGACCTCGGCTAGTATTTTTGACTATTCTTTGTACGTTAAATCCGGCCATTCTAACGTAATACATTACTTATTTGTCATCCGTGCTGTACAGTTCTACGTGCTGGATCAAACAGTAATCCTGACATTACGACACCAGGAAAGTGATAATCGTGTCTGGCACTTACGTTTTCTTAGGGGAGATTGGTACACCTAGTTGCTCGAATAGTTTGGTGGTAGCTTTGAGGCTAGTAGGAGGGGAAGTATTCTCCTCGACCAGTAAGAAGTCGTCCAGGTAATATAATACCGTAGGGCATCTGGCTATGTTCAATAGTAACCAGCACAATGCTTCGGAAAATGTGTTGAAAATAGCTGGGCTACTTTTGGACCCAAAAGTTAAACGGGAGAAAAAATAGTAGTGCCCGGCCCACTTGATTCCATGTAGGTGCCACAGTGTGGGGTGGATTGGTAGCAATTTAAAGGCATTAGTAATATCGAAAGGTAAAAGATAGTATAATCCGTGGCGCTAAAGTAATATCGGTTTTACTAAGCCAGGCTCCGTCCCCTGCTTGTATGATCGCTGTAATGGCGTGATCTATGGTGGTGTATTGCAGGGAGAATTCCTCGGAGGGTATGAGGGAATTAAGATTGGGGTTGGCCGATGAGTGTGGTGCTGACAAGTCAATGATGAGTCTCTGTTTAAGGGAAGATTTCCCTGTGACAATACCAATGGGGTTAGTACGCCATTCTTTGAATGGAGGAGTTTTGAAAGGCCCCAATACGAAACCCTCAGCAATTTCTTGGGCTATGAGAGTGTCAACAGCTGTGGGATTATGTTGTGCAGATTGTAGGTTGGGGCATTCCAGAGTCCTGGATGGTATGTGTAGAATACCAGTGTGGAAGCCTTCTGTTAAACCAGAGATAAGAAAGTCCACCACGTTTTTAGACGGGTGATGTGACATAAATGCAGTAAATACTGGCATATTAATGGAAGTGAGGTAAGGCTTAGAATACATTTTATTTGGACACATGGTTTTTGCATGTGCCCTAAAACATTTTAAACAGATATGGAATAATCTGCAACCGCTATAATTACAAGACCCAACATTGAAATTATTACATATCTGGGACTTGCCCACAAACTTGATCGGACATCCCAGTTTGTCTCTGGTCAATTCCTCTGGAAGACCAGAGGAACTAGCTCCTTGCGTGGAGGCATGTTCGTCAGCCGTGTTGGGACAGAAATTTGTCGTATGGGCTGTAGAGGAGCAGTATGCACAAGCCGGTGTTCTTAGACTTGCAAAGTGTCTGCAAAATATGACGGTAACTATCCTTCCCATGTTGGATCTTGTTCCATACTGGGAGAACGCTCCAGACATTTTTGCAGAAAAATACCTATGGTAGTCATAAAAGGCTGAACCACCATATTTGTTGCCCAGGTCTACCAGCTTGTGCATATAAAGATCAAACTCCTGTCGTCTATTGGGATAGACTGCACAGATGACATCCCGGTAAATACCAAAGGCCAGTACAAACTCGGGGACAGTGAGTTTCCTGTTTAGGTGGGCGTCCCTAGAGCTGACAACAACAGACACATCATCATAAGCATAAGTCGTATTTTCCACAATATCCTGGGAGGCAATCAGCAGGGAAGCTAGGTTGACGTCTTTACCTTCCAGGATATCCCTTTTTATGTGCTCAGGGATCATATGAACAAGGCTAACTTCCTGGTCATCCGAGGTGATGGGTGGAGGAGCCAATAGCAAGTCGGCTGGTGCTTGTGAAGCAGCAGCAGGTGGCCCTGCTAGAGTAAGGGCCGTGGTGACCAACTCAAGTTTCTCCAACCTGGAGTTGACCTTGCTCATGGACGCCATGAGTGAAGATAACATAGAATGTATGTCTCCTGGGTTGGACTGGCTAGGTCCTTCCCCGGGATCCATGTTGTTTGTTGAGGTACGTACCAGTTTGAAAAATTTGGCTTTCCTTGCTGTAGCGGGGTAGGGGATTTGCTGTCTCCTTAACTCGGTAGTTATAGGAGAGATTGTCCAGGATCTGATCGATGCTGGACTATTTACCTCTCCTCCTTGTGTAGGAGTGATAGCTCTAGCCGGAGTGCTAGGCAGGGAGAAATCCTCTACCCCTTCCTGAGACATACTATAACCAAAACAAATAATTAGTGTATGAAAACCACCAAAATCATACTGGC